TTGCTTACACAAGGCTGGATTACGAGCACGGAGATCTTGGCGAGCACCTTTGAATTCATGGGAACGTCAGCGACGGAGATTACAGTGGGCTAGGCTCCGGTAAAACGAAGAAGACGAAGAGGAAAACATTTGGCAAAACTGCCACTTCGTTGACGAATCGCGAACAGGGCCGTAGCTAGGGTCGAATTTGAGGTAGGGCAGCATTAGTTACAGGTAGGGCGGAAGTAAAAAAAATATCATAATTGATCTGCCGTCGAAACACGGGCTCCTAAATCAATCACCATGTATATCACCATCATGTGAATAGTTATTCGTAGACAAATAATTACTGTGACAGTGCATGAGCATGGATCTAAGAACTATTAAATCCTCAATGATGAAGAACAAGTGAATAAGATGGTTGAACTTCCAGATTTGGATGTAGAGATCCACGTCTGAGTGAGAGTGAGGTAATAATTAATTATTGGGTGGGGTGATACGAGTAAATAGAAACGACCAAAAATATCATTAAGATCACATTGTTTTTGCGTACTTATTATAATAATTAACTAACATAATAATAAAAAACATTTAAAACAGCTGAATTCTACGATTCGCCATGTTATTAAAAATGCGAAGAACTTCGTTCAGATCAACTGATTTTGTTCTTTTTTTTTCAAAGGCCAGAAATACCATACCAGCCATTCTCTCGTGACCCATTGACAGCCTTTGAGGCCTATTGATTGCAGTTAAAGTTGAGAACGTAGATTCACACACTGCAGTGCTACATCCTATGGTCGCCACAGACGCAAAAAGTTCATATGTATCTTTGAACGCCTCTCGTTGCCTGTACAAAACTTGCAATGTATTTTCCATTATATCCTCGTTACGACTCAAGTAAGCTTTAACCACACTAGCCTCTTCTCTTGATGGAATTTTCAGACCTGAAAAATTAGTTAAAATTGTAAATTGAACATGACAATTTTTTTGAATTATTTTTTTTTTAAACTTACCCAAATTTTTCAGTGGAACCATTTTATCTACATCCAACTCATCAAGACTTGCAATCGAATTAATTAAATCATCGTTGTCCGAAAACCTTCTTTGTAATTCAGCAATTAAAATGTCCAACGTTTCGAAATACTCAGACTTAAATGGCTCGTCGTTCTCATCTATATTTTGTCTGGCGGAGGAACAGGGGGTGTACGTCAAATAGTCATCCATCCGATTTGGTTTTTTTACTTGCCTCTTCGAGGTCTGTGTCCTATTTTCAGATTCGCCGCAGTCATTGCTTGTTAAGGACTTAGCTTCTTCCAGAATTTGATTATACATTTGATTTGATCTTAATTTAATAATTTCATCTTTGACACACTTTATGATTGTTATGGCATCTTTTAATCCTGCGCTTCGGGCTTGCAAAGCTGCGTCTGCAGGTTGTAGCGTGGATAAGATTTTTTTGGCCACAACCATGGCTATTCGGAATTCCAGATCAAGCATGACTTTTTTAATACCTATACTTCCCTATCCCTTTCAGACTCCTACGTGAAAGGGACATAATTCAGTTGAATCTTCAACTGTTGACAATTGTAAACAATTGAAAAGGTGGCTAAAATGTCATGGGCGTCCGCAAAAAGGGAAAAAAAAATAGCTGATTGAGAGGTTAGTCATCGAAAGTTTAATCTAAAAACTTATAAAAAAAAATAACTTTTTCACTTTTATTCTAATTAATAATGTCAATTCATTTATTCTTCTGTAATTGAAAATATATTTTAGTTAACTTAAGTATTACTATGGAAGTAATTAATAAATTAAGTCATTAATATTTTGAGGCTACAAATGACATTAATAATTAGACAAATGTAAATATATTTAGTAGCTTTTATCATAAATAAAACGTTTAATACGAGATAATATAATTATAAAAAAATTATGCAATTATGAATAATCGAGTAAAAATATTTCTATAGATTTACTTATATAAAAAATATATAGAATCACTTATATAGAAATATATAGAGTTTTATATAAGATGAAAATTGTTAAATCAGTATGTATTAGTTTTGAATGATTTGTATTGTGTATCACTATAACATAGGTACTGACAAAATTATTATAATGGATTATAAAAAAACGGTTATTTTGACTTACTACTTTATTTCTTTTTCTATGTTTTTACAATTAATCGACTTGAATTAATATTTTCGCGTGTAGCGGGCACTTTAGCATGGTTGTTTACAAAAAACAGTACGAAAAAAATGGCTGATGCTAACGTATGCGCACAAAAAAAATTGTGATGAAAAGGCCTATAAACCCTTAGAATAATAACTATAGCCCTATTCTAATTCTTTGTATAAACCCATCGCTTCATGAGATGGCGCTTCGAATGCCATCTATACACAGAACAAAGAATGTAACACTTTTTTTTGCATTCACTGATAAAACACCTGAAATTCAATAAAATATAAACAATATTCATTTGAGGTTGTTTTTGTTTTGACGTTTTGTTTTTATTCAGCAAAATGTCATCATGACATTTGTCATTGGTGCGTTCCGTTTCATCGGCTTTAGTTTGAACCAATACAAGAGTCTTACCATCACATTATAAATTTTGTTGCAAACTTAGATACCTATCGCTACATTTTTTTTCTCAAACTATGAACAAACAATTTAATTATAATAATTTATCTTAGTTTTAGATATTTTTAAGGTAGGGCATTGTGGTTTCAAGGTAGGGCATTGCCCCACAATGCCCCCCCCTAGCTACGGCCATGATCGCGAATCAGTACTCATCCAGATAACCGACGTGTCCGTATTTGGAGAAAACCTGGAGACTCTGAAAGGCAAAGAACGGCCACTGGAACGGTTCAGAAAGGCGGGAAATCAGCGTCCTTTTGGGGTGATATTATGATTGGGGCTAGAACGCCTTTAATCCCTTATCAAGGCTTCATGAAGTCAGACAGATACAAACAGTCGCTATTGATGGAATCGTCAGACCTTTCTGAGTAAACCATGGGCACCAATTTATACTGGTTTACTATAATGCGCCCGCACATCGAACTCAACGAGTCAATGCTGCTCTCCGAGAATACGAAATCACAAGGTTAGACTAGCTTGCCGGCTCTCTTGATTTAAACCCAATAGAGCACGCGTGGGATGGTCTTAAGCGAGCTGTTTGGAACCGGCAGCCACCACCCCAGACGGTACCGCAGCTCAGGGAAGCTACTGTTCAAGAATGGGACAGGTTACCACAAGAAATGCTGGATAACTTGATACTCAGCATCAACGATATTAAATAACCTAGATACACCAACACGAACAAAATCCCGCCCGAAACCTGTCCACAAAGTACATTGGACGATCCACGGAGCCTCGTAAGATTATCGCGTAATTTAAACAATATAAGGTATTATTTAAACATTGAAAATCACCTTTAAAGCATTCTGTATAAGGTCTTTATTAAAACGCACGCGTTAAAGAGTTACGACATTCTGAAATGTAAGGTCGTAAAATTTTTCGACTTATTACTATATGCGGAAGAATATAGACCTTATTTCTTTGCCTCTACGCGCAATTCTGAATGCGCTGTTAGCAATATAGCAGGTACGGTCCGCGAGGAAAAGAGATGGCTATATTACCGACCATGCATTTAAATATTACAAATCTTTTATATTAAATCAGTTTATGGTAAGTATTAATAGAAAATTTACTTCAAATACGTTAAATAAACAAACATTGATTGGATACCTGTCGAAAAAACGACATTTTACTATAAGTATTTTTTTCACGGAGCTCAGCGGCATGTTGACTTTTCAACGGTCCGCGCGTGACTGTGGATCAGGAAGTGCTTGAGTAGTGTTCAAGCACTTCTTGATTGGGACACATTTTGAGCGCACGTGGTGTATCTAGGGTATTTACATTTAATATCGTTGCTATATTTAAACTATATTTTTATTTCAATCAAAGTTCTATTTCAATCGCCTTAGGATTGAATTATTAAATTTTTTATACTAAAAAATAAAATTACTTTTAGTTTTTAATTTCAAAAAGTGTATTTTTAATTAAAAATATATATAACGTAAACATTTTCTCTTGATTAAGTTAAATTTTGAAAATATTCTTTTCAGAAAGCACAATGCTTTGCCTTCTTTCGCCAAACAAAAGGTTGTCCTTTTGGCAGTTGGTAATTATTATAGGGAGGGCCTTGGGGCGTGCCACCCCGCGGGGACACTCGACGCGAGGCCAACACTATAATTTATAACCGCGTCATTGTTGCCTCAACGAGAGTCGACCAATGAGCGACCACCTACTTAATGGAGAAATGATTTATCACCTACCTAAAGACATTTTCGCGATTTATAACGACGTATCTAGAGTAAATAATAGTATAACGTTTACGCAAAGATAAAGAAATTGTTAAAGTTTAGTGATCTTTTTAATGTTTTTAAAAAAAATCTGTATTTATTTAAGCTATTTTGTAAAAAGCTTGTAAAATTTTTAGACTGATCTTTTTCCTTAAAGGGATTGAAGTTGTGGAAAATGCAAAATTCTAAAACTAACGTAAAACAAAGATACGGCCGTTTAGGTGGCGTACCTACTAAATTGTATGAAACCCTAGATCCGACACGCAAGTGTCCATTTTTTTCTATAAAAAGCTGGTAATCGGCGTCTTGGACATACTTGGCTTATCTTAAATTAACTTTCGCGTACAGTTGAAGTTTCCTAGATTTACGACTTATGCACCCTTACTAACTGGCATTGCTCGCCATTCCATCTGAGGAGATAAAAACCGAACCGCATTATGCTCATGACTTGTACTTATTATGTCTAATGTTATCCTGTCCTTAAATTAAACTTCTCTGACATGACTGTAAAAGGGAATCTAATTTCACAAAGACTATCGAATTTGGGTAGTTGTGATGTAACAACTATTTAGCTACAGTACCACAGAATTAGTTCAGAAATATGTGCATACGAGTTTGACATCCAAAAAGATTTTCGTTAAAGTGCTATTCTCCTTTCAGATCGCATCTTGTACGACGTGCCTTGTGCCGTCTGCCGTGACCACTCGTCGGGCAAGCACTACGGCGTCTTCGCCTGCGACGGGTGTGCGGGCTTTTTTAAGAGGTCTGTGCGAAGAGACCGACGGTATGCTTGCAAGGCCAGATCGCCTGGAGCATGCCTGGTCGACAAGGCTCACAGGAATCAATGCCGCGCGTGTCGCCTGGCCAAGTGTCTCGATGCAGGCATGAACAAAGATGGTGAGTTTTGGTGGACGATGGAATATGCTCCCAAAGAAATATACTATTCACACCGTCACACTTTCACAGCTCAATGTGAAGGTGGGTCTGTCGTGTTTGACTCAAACTGTATCATGAATCAGTTATATGAAATGCGTATGTGACAATATGCCGTTTCTGCCATATCTACAATACCTTTTTGTCTATTACAGCGGTTCAACATGAAAGAGGGCCGAGAAATTCAACAATAAGACGACAAATGGCCATGTTTTTCAAAGATACCGGCCCGGCAACCGACTTAGGTAGACCGATTGCTCCAATTTTAGATCTGGCCTTACCCAAGGTAGCATTGCCTCCGGTGCCGCCACCAGTGTCGCTATTCCAAAACCCTTACTCATATGACAGGCTAAAATTTGCCACTCCTACACTTATACCACTCGATATACCAGCATCTCCGCCGATGTCAACCCCATTACTGACTCCATCTGAGCCGGAAGCGATCTGTGAATCAGCAGCCAGGATTTTATTTATGAACGTCAAATGGGCCAAAAATGTACCAGCTTTTGCGACACTATCTCTTCCCGATAGACTGCTACTTTTGGTGGAAACCTGGAGAGACTTGTTCGTTTTGGGAACGGCACAGTTCCTCCATCCAGTGGACTTGAAGATTCTTTATGATTCGGGCAATACAAGAATAGATGCGCGGGATGTTGAGGCTTTTGAATCAGCTTTATCGGAAGTAGCGCATGTGAGGCCGGATACGAACGAGTACGCCTGTCTGAGAGGAATAGTCCTGTTCAAGACCAGCTTTAGTGACAGCAACGAAATCAGTCCGACACATTCTGATTATAAGAGGTTACAAGATCTACCAGCTGTGGCAGCATTACAGGAGCATTCCAAAATCATATTGAACGAGGTAAGTTTCACGTCATTAATTGAGGTTTTTCAAAAAATATTATTTCTCCCATGAAATAATTACGTAATATGTATGATGTGTATGTATTTTAGTAAAAGAAATCTTGGGTATATTTTAAGGTATTTTTGCTGCTCTTTCCAATATATGTATCTTTTTTTAGGGTTCCGTTGTCCTGACAAGGTACTCTTATAGTTTCGTCATGACGTCGTCGTACTTTTAAGAAAAACTATAACGGTTAAGATAGATCTGTTAGTTTAAGAATAATATAGCCGTTAAACTTTCATTAAAGAAAATTTCTTACCTTTTGAAAATTCCTCAGAAGATAACATTAATGGTGACATAGATGAAGTTATTGTAGCGTAAAACCTTACATTGCAACTAATTCTCAAAAAAAAAAACAATTTTAAAAACCACAATATAATATCATTTGTTCCACAACGCTACCGCGATTACCAACGGCAGTGGCTTCCGAGTCGCGCTAACGTTACGTTTTTACAAAAAGTATTGCACTTCAAATTACCTTATAATTACGGTTGTACCCCCACCTGGGAGGAAACAAAAAGGAATCGTCGGTTATCATTCGTATTTAAAAAAAATCGAATTTGTTTTGAGGTTGAGACGCAGTTTGACCTTGATTTAGGTATTTTAGTTGAGAAACATAGATTGATATTAATTGGTTTTTCTAATTTCCGATATACAAAATAAAGACTCCTGCTCATATATATTGTGGAAACTACAGGCAACGACGGAACCCTACATTGCGCGTGGCACGACACGCCAAGTTCGTAATTTTTTTGTTATGATCACCTAATCTAACACTTATTTATTTATTCATTACTTTTAATTACTCTGTTCTGTGCATTAATGTATAATATTTTCATTTCAGTACATAACCCGCACATACCCGCTGGCCGTGACTCGAGCAGGGCGCCTGCTCCATCAACTGAATACCATAAGGAGGGTCCCTAGCAGAGTTATAGTTGAGCTATTTTTTCGATCTACCATAGGAGAAATATCTATAGAGAAAATAATCAGTGACATGTACAGATCTGAGAAAGAGATTCTTTAATATTTGTTATTCCCATGGATTTTATTTAAAAATCCTTAATTTATACAATGCAATATTAGATAACATATAACGACGACATATAAGCTAACTATTGCAAACTAAAAACTGAATTTGATGTCAGAATTGAATTTAACGAAATCATGAATCAAACCAACAGGTTCATGTTTTATAAAACGAAGTATGATATTCTCAAAGCTATTTAATAAATATTTTGAATATGTTTTTAGTCACCATCGCAATAATGTTTATACTTCGTATAAAATTATGTTTTAGGAATATCTAGTCCTTAACAATAAAACAGTAACATAAAAACGTGAATAATTGTACCGCGACGCTTTGAAGACGAAAATGATATATGTACTTACTTACATTTTAATATGACATAAGTGACAAAATTCTATTTTCAAATTAAGTTTACACGTCTTCTCGCCTTACAAACTCATTCCTTTGTAAGAATATTAGTTTATTGTCATAAAAGTTTAAATTTTAAATAAACAGTGGCTTATCTGTTTATTGAAACATGTTAAATAAATCACAGTAATAATGTAAATATATTAGATTGAATAATATATATTTAGAAGTGGCATTTAAGTACATAAACAAAGAAAATTTAAAAATGTAAATAAATAAATGAGTACATTTCATGTCTTTTAATTTTATTATCTTAAAATACAGATTACCTATTGAGAGTGCCTATACTGAAGTGAAGTTAATCCCTGTAGCATAAAAAGAAATAGATAATGTTTCATTCAAAAATAAAGAATTACTTACTTAACTATAAAAAGGTATGACATGATGAAATTCGATGCTCCTTACAAATGTCCAATGCTGCTTACGAACTCCATACAATGAATTTTTTAAGAAGTGCAATTAGACCTAATTCGTTAATGAATGAACATCAAATTAAATGGTCATCAAACACTTTGAGCGGGATAAAGATCAATTTATTGAATTTTTTCTTTATTTCTTTAAATCATCTAATTTATACAAGTTAAACGATTTTGCAATAAAAAGTACTTCATTTAGATTAAATAATTCAACAATCATTCTTTAATTATCTTAATAACAAAAGTCAGGAAAAATAAAAATGTAACGAGAACTTTGAACGCCATTTTCTCGGAAGTATGTAAATAATACTTACTGCTCTTATCGATAGCACGGCAGGAAAAGGATCCGTCTATTCTCAATTATTTGTGTGGGTGAACACAAAATCTATTTCTTACTAAATGTCTTATCTTTTTAAGCACCTATGTATGGTATATCTCGAAAAGAAAAGGATTAGTAAAATATACATGAAATTGAAATGAAGAGGATTGCGAGTACCAAAATACCTTGCCAAACAAAATAAATGAATTGGAAATGCCGGAAATCAACGAGCATATATTATATGCATGAGGTTGAGTTTTATTTAATTTTATGATAGAAAGTATACTAAGGTGAAGCAAAAGAAATTATAAAGATCATGGCAATCAGAAAAAAAGAAAGTGATTATTCGAATGAAAGAAAAGAAATATACAGTGTAGTTTAAGCAGGTTGCCTGCTGCCACTATGGCCACCCTGCTTAAACTACACTGTTTATTTCCCTCGCTTGTTTTCTGAGTCTGAATCTGAATCTTAGTGCACTCTGGCCGTACCCTATTTGACACACTATTTATACATATAGAATTGATAACGAGAAAAGTTAATTTTCTATGAGAACTATTATGGGTACGTCAGGTTGATGCCAGCTAAGAATGTTTACTTCAATATCTTTGGTCCTTTAAGAGTATTGATTATAAAATTTTGTAAAGCCAGGGCACTATTTGCGAACTATTTTCGTGTGTCAATTTCGTTGCTTAAATATATGCCGTTCTTGGGGACGGCCATGGGTACGTTAGACGTCATGCTAGCGTACACAGTAAAAATGGTCTTTATTTCTTAAATTACAGAGACACTATTTTTTTTATTTTTACATTAATTTGGCACTATTTACGCATTATTTAATGGCATAACGAAAAACCGTATATTGATCGTGGGTACACTAGCATCACGGACACAAAACAAGGTAGGTACATGGTAGAAATCCCGTAAATAACATAAATGACTAAAATGTAAACACGTTGATTATTGTTTACACGTGACTGCACAACAGATCAGGAGGGAGAATAGAAACTGGGTGACAATTTGCTGACAAGCACCAGGTAAATTCATCGTAAAATGACTCCGGCGCATCTATCGAGTGACGTCACAATCTGTCGTCGGCAGCGTGTCTGCGCCGGCCGACATGTGCGCTCGTGTATATTGTGTCCAAATCCCCGATTAATCTCCAACTTTTATGAGCTTTTGTTCACTCCCCTTCACGATTTTTTGCTTCACCCCGATTTCACGACAATGCGCTAACACTGAACAATTCAATTTCAAACGTAACGGCAATGCATAAAGTGCACTTTACTTCGAAATTAACTAAAAAAACAAGTCAAATCATTAATGCTTTTAAAGGCAAAGCAACTAAAGTCGCATTTAGCTTGAAAATGGTCATGCTAGAGGTAACTCGTATTATCTTCTAGAGTTTATAGTCTTTTGGTCGCGTCAATTTGTGTATTGTCATTTTGACATAATAGGGATGCCATCCCCACAGTTTATTGGTTGAAACCCGATGACAGTTACTTCGACTTTTTGACGAACAGTCGTCCCTCTTTTTTGACTGTTAGAGTGCGAGATAGGGATAGGATTAAATATACGAATTGAAAGGCCTACTTAGCGAAATATGGCTTAGTTATTGAGTGATGCATTATAATGGGGTGACAGTCTATTATAGCGATGTCATAGTATCCTGAGCCCGATTTCGTGATAATAATTCGTAATGTGACTTTATTAACATAAAAATTTATTTGTTATTCTTTATGCACCTATTTTAATGAAGATTTATGTTACGAAATAATCACTGTACTTATGGTGTACCTATGTATAAAGTCTACATCAGCCTCTTATTCTTATATGTTTCATGCTCAGGAGATCAAGTCATAGCTATTATGTAGATATAGTACTGCGGAGTTCTAGCCAGAGTGGATAGAACCCAGGGACGTAACTACTAATTAAAAGATACTGGACTTTTAAATTTATTTTACTTGATTTCAGGCGAATACATGTTTTTTATCTAAGCTACGCAAGGGTTGGTGCCTGAAGATCGTCTCTTGTATGGAACCTTCTATCAAAAGACAGATGATTCCTTATTTCAAATCTTAAAATCATGACATTAACTTTTTAATATAACTGCCAACCATAGGCATTGCAAGAGCAAAGAGTTTACCTAAACAAGGAGGTTGTAACGTAACGGACGTTACAGTACCTACCAAGGTAAGTCAAGGACTTATCTACATACTATATATACATAAAAAATAATCGGTAAATGTTGGTACAGTACTGGCCCGCGGAACCCCTTACTACTAGCGTTTATAGCGTCTATGTTAATTAGAAATAAAACAACAGTGATTTCGATTCTGGCATGATTCTCTAAAGCTAAACTTAAATTTGACAACAGTGCATTCTTGTCCTTCTCTATATAGAATGAAAAGGTGAGACTGACCTTAAATTTAGTTTTAAGTTTAGAGAATCACGCCAGAATTGACACCAGTGTTAATTAAAATAAATCGTGGCTTTCCTTTTGTTGAACCTACAACCCTAAAACCTTACTCACCGACTGAAACTAGAGCTGTAGCAAACCGTATGTCTTCGGTACTGAGTAACGGGTACGCCATCTAGTACCGAGTAACGAAACGTTACACACAAATAAATTTCGTTACTCGCATTTTTCGTAGTATGATGTAGATGATTTATATGTTTCAGTTTACGCAAGTACAGTTAATGTGTGTATAGAAACATTTGCTGATCTTATGTATTAAGCATATGCGAGCATATTTGGAGAATTTAAAAACGTATGTTGGAGTTTTTGGCGGGATTTCATCGAGTGCGGTTGGCGTCTTATTTTAATTATTCTTAAATTCGTTCATAGTGGATGTTGTGAAATAAAATTGGTGTGATTTTGTGTTACAGCCGTCTGCGTACAGTTTGTTTATAAAGTCGTGACATGATTGTTTGAGGAACTAACATTATTCATGTGTCTGGCAACATCAAACTTATGTACATCAGCTGTCATCGAGTTTCAGTTGTGGAACTGTTTTCCTTTTGTATTTTTTATTGTTTGGATTAAACTGTAATAAATTAAGACGAAACTACGCAGAAAGCTATAAAAATGAGTAAAGTAAATCGGAGTGGCACGCGGGAAGTGATTTTAAAAGTTTTCCAGCAATGTTTCGAAGACTACCAAGCTGGACGAATTTTGTGGGATTTGCATGATGTTTATGGGCGAACAGCATCTATGACGGGTATGTAATCGTGTAACTATTTGTTTGTAATCTGCCTGAAGTTACAAATTTACGCAATTTACGATTTTGAGACCAAAAAAGGCATTGTTTACATTGCACATTTTTAGGTTAGATTGACATTGTAAATAGGTGATATTATAGTACGACCATTTCTTTTGATACGTTATTATGGTTCAACTCGGTCAGGTTTTCTACCAATTTTGAATTAATTGCTTCATGTCAATAAGTTATTGTTTCTATTCCGTTACATATTTTTTTAATTTTTTCAGGAAAATCAGAGAATCGGATAGTCAACGAAGGTTTTAAGAATGATGGAAAGTTTGAAACTCCTGGGACAACAGGCAAGGCCGACCAAAGAAAGAAATGGTCACATAAAGAACCATGGCCAGATGCTTTTAGTGAAGATACCTATCACTAATTTTACTAACTGCACATTTACAAATTGTTAAATTTATTGTTCTCTAAATATTCTCTAAATAAACTTTTTGAAGTTATACTTCTTTAGGCGCGTTATGAAAAAAAGATGAGAGTGAAATTTTAAGATGCGCGCGCATCACTGTAACACAAAATTTTAACAGCATGAAGTTGGTCCAACTTCATGCGTTACTTTTGTGTTTACCGCACATTAAGAAAATCTATCAACAAAATAGAAATAGAATCTCTATTTAGTGGGTGCTAACGACTGCATTGTGAAGGCCTATCAAAAGTATTTATTAATCTGAAACAACGGAACCAAAGCGCGATTCAGGAGACTACAGCGCCATCTCTTGACCATTGGTGTAGTAGAACAAAAACCACATCTTTATTTTTTGTAATAAAGCAACAGTTATAGGTATTCATATTTATAATATTTATCCACATGTTTCTAGTTTGTATATTCGGAATACGTGTTTGAGTTTTATACAAGTGCAAATCACATATGTTCTAATAAATTATATTCAGTAGCGATTTTAATTGAATATTTTGATTATTTATTTATTTTTTCAAATTAAAACTGAACTTTATTGACTGTGTCCTTTTCCAGACTTTTTATTAATTTATTGTAATTAATTATTTGCATGCAATTAAAAACTAATTTTAAACGATGCAAAGAAGGATAACTTCTCACGCGCCTACATAAGTACACGCACCCATTTTTTATATACTATATAATGATTTTTAGTATTATTTTCTTAACAAGTGTGTTAAAAAACGTCGTATGATGATACATGTGTGTATTGATAACCTAACCTAACGGCTCTGGTCTCAATGGCACCT